TGTTATAAGTCTCACTGAGTAAATACAGCTGGATAAAACAAAAACTGTGTGTCTTCCTTTCAGGCTGCAAAGCAATAAAATGTGATTTTAAGGGGGTAATTATTTTCTATACCCAATGTATAGGATTACTTCTTTTTTAACACTTGTCATTGGCAGTACAACTTTGAGTACAAAAATTAACGCTAAGACTACAATGAGCTATTGGTCACTGGCATGCTGGTTGTCTAATGATTATAACCATGACACCTAGGGGTGTATTTATAAGAAATTTGCAGAGCTATTCAGCCAGTGAAACTGCGTGTACATTTTTTTCTGTGGGAATGGGGGTAAAAAGGAAATTTTCTCAGGCTATTTCCTCACTAGTTTGAATGTATTCATTCATAAGAATTGGGAAAATATCACATTATGGCCAATAGATATAGCTGAAAATAATAAATAGCTATTTACGTTGTCAGCTCTTTCTGGTGGCCATAATACAGTATGTTTCCGATTCCTATGGATGAAGACAAATCAAACTAAATGTAGCCTGAGAAAATTTCTTTTTTGCCTCCAATTGCACAGAACGGAAGCACATGCAGTTTCACAAGACGTATAGCTCTGGAAATGTTTTATAAACACACCCCTAACGTGGAAAAGGTTGCTAACCCTTACCATATAATGGAATTTCTGACTCCAGTTCTTAATTCCTGGAGTACAGTACAGAATACAGACAGATTCACAGGTGACTGAGTTAAAGTCTTCAGGTGACTGGACACTGGCAAACAAAAACATGAGGTCCCTCATATGACCCCTTCCACTTCCAGCAAACCTAAGTTCTTTAGCAAGCCAACAGAGGACCACAGAGGGGAAAGTGGCCTGTGTACTGTACCTTCAAGAACTGTTTTTAAGGCCCCTTTCACACGGGCAGACAGTTTGGATCCACCTGTCCTTTCAGATGGACCCAATCGGACCATCCATTGCCCTCTATGGAACGGTGGATGTAAACGGACATGTATCTGTTTACATAAGCCTGCATCCGCTCCAATCCACTAAAAACATATGGATGGGGATCGGTCTAGTGAAAAGAATCCGACAGTCGAATATAATATGGATCGGTGGTCTGTTTACATCTAACCATCCATAGAGGATAGTAGGCTGTGTCTGTGTCTGCTCTGCACAGGTGGAGTGGACACAGACCTGTCATCCGCCTACTTAGCGGGGATCAGCGGAAAGATTCCCTGCTGAGCAGGCACATTCGCTGGCACAGTCCACCAGTGTGAAAGGGGCCCAACAGGTAAATCAAAAATCTGATTTTCTTTTTCATATACAGTCATGGCCGAAATTGTTGGCACCCTTGATATTTCTCCAGGAAATCATGTATTTCTCACGAAACGTATTGCATTAACACATGTTTTGCTATACACATGTTTATTCCCTTTGTGTGTATTGGGACAAAACAAAAAAAGGGAGGAAAGAAAGCAAATTCGACATAATGTCACACAAACCTCCAAAAATGGGCTGGACAAAAGTATTGGCACCCTTTCACAACTGCGGATAAATAAGAATGTTACAAGCATGTGATGCTCCTGTAAACTCACCTGGGGCAAGTAACAGGTGTGGGCAATATAGAAATCACACCTGAAAGCAGATAAAAAGGAGAGACGTTCACTTAACCTTTGCATTGTGTGTCTGTCTGTGCCACACTAAGCATGGACAACAGAAAGAGGAGACGAGAACTGTCTGAGGACCTGAGAACCAAAATTGTGGCAAAATATCAACAATCTCAAGGTTACAAGTCCATCTCCAGAGAACTAGATTTGCCTTTGTCCACAGTGCGCAACATTATCAAGAAGTTTGCAACCCATGGCACTGTAGCTAATCTCCCTGGTCGTGGACGGATGAGGAAAATTGATGAAAGATTGCAACGCAGAATAGTCCGGATGGTGGATAAGCAGCCCCAAACATGTTCCAAAGACATTCAAGCTGTTCTGCAGGCTCAGGGAGCATCAGTGTCAGCGCGAACTATCCGTCGACATTTAAATGAAATGAAACGCTATGGCAGGAGACCCAGGAGGACCCCACTGCTGACACAGAGACATAAAAAAGCAAGACTACAGTTTGCCAAAATGTACTTGAGTAAGCCAAAAGCCTTCTGGGAAAACGTCTTGTGGACAGATGAGACCAAGATAGAGCTTTTCGGTAAAGCACATCATTCTACTGTTTACCGAAAACGGAATGAGGCCTACAAAGAACAAAACACAGTACCTACGGTAAAATATGGTGGAGGTTCAATGATGTTTTGGGGTTGTTTTGCTGCCTCTGGCACTGGGTGCCTTGACTGTGTGCAAGGCATCATGAAATCTGAGGATTACCAAAGGATTTTGGGTCGCACTGTAGGGCCCAGTGTCAGAAAGCTGGGTTTGCGTCCAAGATCCTGGGTCTTCCAGCAGGACAATGACCCCAAACATACGTCAAAAAGCACTCAGAAATGGATGGCAAAGAAGCGCTGGAGAGTTCTGAAGTGGCCAGCAATGAGCCCAGATCTAAATCCCATTGAACACCTGTGGAGAGATCTTAAAATTGCTGTTGGGAAAAGGTGTCCTTCCAATAAGAGAGACCTGGAGCTGTTTGCAAAGGAAGAGTGGTCCAAAATTCCGGGTGAGAGGTGTCAGAAGCTTATTGATGGTTATAGGAAGCGACTGATTTCAGTTATGTTTTCCAAAGGGTGTGCAACCAAATATTAAGTTAAGGGTGCCAATACTTTTGTCCAGCCCATTTTTGGGGTTTTGTGTGACATTATGTCATATTTGCTTTTCTGCCTCTGTTTTATATTTGTTCCAATACATACAAAGGGAATAAACATGTGTATAGCAAAACATGTGTTAATGCAATACCTTTTTTGTGTGAAATACTTGATTTTCAGGAAAAATATCAAGGGTGCCAACAATTTCGGCCATGACTGTAGTACAGAACACATGCAGACTGGGATGTCCCAAAGCAGTAACAATAAGAGGAGTGTAAACCATCAACAAAACCAACCAATACAACTTACGCAGCAACAAATAAAAGTGAGATGCAAATGGCTAATGGGAAAAAAAAAAAAAGAAGAAGAAATGCCAAAGATGATATTTGGCCCTTGATCATACTATGGGCCAATGTCTGACCCAGCCCCAACTGAGGAAAAGATATGATCCACAGTGTACTGGTGAAGACTAACCTTCTGGTATATACACCAGGCAAAATTAGCCTTCCAGGTGCAGTGATAGACTTTGTGAGAAGCCGATTTTTTGGCACTCAAAAGCATAATGAAGACAAACTAAATCAAGCCCCTATCTCTCAACACTTGGACTTCAACAGCCAAGTCATCAAAGTCAAGGGGGCAGGATAGAACTCTGTACTCTGGGACAGCAGATCCAGGTGGTCTGGTGATGGCCATGGAACATCCGCATACCACGTTCTTTGGGGCCACAAGTATCACTGGATGCCCTCTGACTAAATCTGGTGCAACACAAGTGAAGATCTTTAGGGAGGAAAGACATTTATAAAAAGGAAAAGGGAGAAATGATTACACGGGGTCACCAAGGCATCTACTGCAAAGGCTCCAAGATCCCTCAACAGGGACACGGAACTTTTCATCTTGTGGTAGAATCTTGACACGAAGAGATCCACATCCAGCATCCCCTATCTTCAACAAATTTACCAAAACACCACTGGGTGTAGGAGCACTCTCCTGAGTCTAGCTGTTGGCAAACTCAACCGACCAGTTTTTCACATATGGAACGTGTGCGGCTATCAAGGCTGGAATGGGATGCTCTACCCAGAGCAGAATCAGGTCTACTTCTTCTAAACGTCTGGACCCACCCTGGTGGTTGATGTAATCCACACCTGTGGTAGTCCCTAAAAGGCAGGGGGAGGTGAATAGCTCTTCTAAAAGTTGATGAGAATTCAGGGTTCCTCCACCGACCCCATTCTCTGTACCATTTCGGTCCCGAGCACATGACCACAGGCCAACAGGCTGACAACCATCATGAGCACTGTCCGAGTCAATGAGAGAAAGGACTTTCCTGACTGCAACTCTGGATTGGATATCTACCATGTTAGAGAGAGTGTGTTACCTCATGGGTCCATCTAGAGAAAAAAAAGTCTGCTTGTCCCACAGAGCCAGGATACTGTGTAGTAATGGTATGGAATAAATCTGGGCATATGGCACCACCTCAGATGAGGTCAGCATCAGATCCAGTACCCTCATGCAAAACTACACTGAGGGTTGGCAATGGGACAGAAATTCCCATACCGGAGATATTGGCAACAAGAAATTTGCTAGGAGAATACACACTCAAGCCTGAGCCATAAAATAGGTACTCCAGTCGGAGTCCATGCAGATTTTTTGATATTGAAGAACCAAGGCCTGCAACTGACGAGCCCTTTGCTGAATCTTGCAGGACAGAGTCTGGACAGGTCAGGCTGTCAAAAGTAGGTAATTCAGGTACCATACAATGCGGACACTAGCAAAAAAATTGAGGCTTGGGAGCAGGAGGAGTTATATTGGGGACCTCACAAATTTTTTTTTTTTGTCAGTGTTCGGTCACCTGAAGGTACCTGCCTTTAACCCAGTTGTCTTTAAATCTGCCTGTGTCCTGTATTGTATAAATAAGAAATTATATTTACATACTTCCTAGTAAATGGAGCATCCTAGAAATTAGATTTTCTTTTAGAGGAAGCAACAAGGAGAAAAAATAAAAAATATATTTTTTTTATCCAGGATTAGTTGGATAAGGGTTGTCTTATAGAAGCCACAGAACTGCCACCTCTCTACTATCCTTGTAGGTCCATAGGTGCCCATATAGCTAACCCTCAGTTTCAAGTTTATATATAAAGTTCCTGAAAGCGTTTTAACCCTGAGCATTGCCATTGGTCCATCCTTGGGATAAGTATCCACTTTAACCAACAGAAATGCACAGGTGGTGTGAGAGAGTGTCAAGTTCTCGTTGAGGAAAAAAAAACATCACTATAACACTTACTGCATTGGTGTTTCCACCGACTTGCATGCATCGAAGCTGAAACCATGACCAATTTGAGTCTAATTCTGTTGATCTAAAAAAAAGGAAAAAAAAAAGAAAATACATTTTTTAGCGTATAAAACAATTATTTTTTTATTTAGGTGATCACCACCTATAGTTAAAACATACACATTCAGTTCAGTCATAGCCTTTACCAGTGAGTAGCAAACCAATCTATGTAGTAGTAAGTTAAATAAATTTGTTAATTTTCTAGCACATATGAGCACAACATGGATGGAATGACAAATGTGCAAAGATCAATTGGATTGGTGATCCCAGAAATGCCTATTCGACAAAAGCCACTTGTGGATGAAAAGGTTTTTGAATTGAATCAACAGACTACATCTAGTTCCTGTAACACAATATATTTGAGGATTTCGCAATCCCTTTTGTAAAACACACACTTTTCACAAGTTTAACAGGATTCCTTATCAGCTGCTACAAGGCTTACAGGCACAAATGCTGGCACAGCACACCTGTTATTTTACAGATGTATGGACACAAAACTATTAATGGCACCTGGCCATACAGACTCCCCCATCCAAACAAATAAGTTGGATGGAGGAATCCTTCCCATTTGTGTTTTTGTATTCTGACAGCAGAGATGCCTCCACTGTGGGAATACACAAAATGGAAAATTGAATGATAGATACTTATCAGAGGGAGCAGCAGAAAGACAAAAGCTGCAAACACTGGCACTGCGTGGGTGTACATGCCTAGGGGAGACTCTGCTGTTCACTTCACGTGGACCTAACAGACCCCAGACAAGGCTGTTAGCCATGATAAAAGACACCCTGAAGACCAGCAGTGGGGCTCCCTGGATTATGGGTTATTTAGCAGGTACACCAGGGACTGCACCCAGCTGGAAACCACACTCATGGACAGATGGAGAGACAGCAAGCCCTTTATACCAGCCAAGTAGAGGAGAATGCCCAGGTCCTGAATATAGGAGAAAAAAAAAAAAAAGGAATGCCGAGGCAGCAGGCAGGCTCAAATTAATTTAGGTCCTGGAAGCATGGAGGGGGCGGGGCCCATACCCAGCTGTGCTGACATGGAGCTTTCAGGAAATACACAAATCAGGGCTGCAGTCAACTGGCTGCAGCGCTGATCCAAGGAAAAATTTTTCCAACAAGCCTGTTTGCGAGAAGTTGATCATTAGATGGACTTCTCACAAATGGGAAATGGCCATAACTGGATTGAAATCAGCAGCCCTTCCAGGTCCATAAATAAATAATATTGGTAAAAGGTTATATTTAGAGACCCAAACAAATCTGCATTTGGAAACTAAATAAAGCCTTGGTGCCAAACAGGTGGCCTACCTGCACTCAGTGTGTGGTCTTCTGAGCTCCAGACCTATGTGTACCAGTGAAAACCAAGATCATTTTCTGTCTGTAGATAAAAAGGAACTGTGCAGCTGAGACTAAAAAGTTGAATGCCCTTGCTATAAGCAAGGCGTTGGCAAATTACATACCTCCTGAAGCCTGAGTGGGATACTCCCAGAAGGCTGCCAAGTGAGGCCCAGTCATTACTGTTCACCTCCACCATCACAGGAGCAAGCTCTCAAACACTGAGCTCAGAGCTACTGCATCAGGGGAGAGAAAGAGCACTTGAAAAGGGGAAGAATCGGAGAAAATGCTCATTCCTGTGATGGAAGAGGTGCGCACTAATGACTAGGCCTCACTTAGCAACATCCTGGGAGTATTCCAGTCAGGCTTTGGAAGTTATGTAGATGGCCTACATGTACAGCAACCAATCAGATGTGGTGTCTGCATTAGTTTTCTTTTTTAGGCTTTTTTTTTTAGGCTTTCTCCCTCTCCATTTTCACTTGGTGATCCTGCCAGTAACACCCCTCCTGTATTAGAGTGCCCCCACTCTAAATGAAGGCGCACAGGGGGCACATTTAGACAGCAGCACTGTCAGTCTGGGAGGAGTTTTAGAAATACTAGCAGATGTAGACACACTAACAAATAGAAGCTGAACACCAGATAACACTAGTTACAGGAACATGTTTTTCCTTTTTGGATTAAAAGGTTTTACATAAATAAAAGCCGATCGTTGCATGCACCCCTGTCAGTTGTAAATGGTTTGTCTCAAACACTCTAAACTGCTATATCTACAGGACAGCTTGTTCTGTTGAAAAACAGACACACTGGTAGGATCACCAGGTGACAAGAAAGAAAGCCTAAAAAGAAAAACTAATGTAACCATCACATCTAGGAATTGGTAAGTTGTATTATAATAAATGTTTGCTTTTGGGTTTTATACTGCTTTAAAGAAGTATTAGACCCAAAAACAAAAAATGTATTACATTGCAGCTTATAGACTGCCTTGATTTTTGCATTACGCATAACTATTTTTGGCATGACCATCAATATTTTCAGCAAATCAGAGGGGTTGCTATGGGGGCTCGCTATGCACCCTGTGTAGCAAACCTTTTTATGGCTTATTAGGAACAAGAGGCAGTTCATTATCAAACCCCACGCCAACTACTTTTGTATAAGAGGTTCATTGACGATGTAATCATCCTATGGGCAGGGGAGATAGAGAGTTTGCAAATATTCTTAAACACCCTTAACAATAATGATAACCAGTAAGGAGTCAATAAACTTGGGTGACCAGTAAGGAGTCAATAAACTTTCTGGATTTAAACATTGAAGGGGGAACCGTTTAGTTACCACTACATTTTTTAAGGGAGTTGACCGCAACGGTTATATCCCGCTGGATAGCTGTCATTACCCCCAATGGCTGCTAAACATCCCTAGGGGACAATTTGTCAGGTTGCGGAGGAATTGCACTAATAAAGAGGACTATGATCAACAAGTTAAGATCCTTTGCAATGGATTCCTTCTTGTACCCCTTTTCCTCAAACCTTTTGCCGACACCATAAAGGAGGTAAGGAAAATAGAAAAGGGCCCAATTATTGAAGGACAAACAGAAGGAAAAAGCATCTGAGGAACAGATACCAATTATCCTTGATTTTAATACACAATATAAAAAAGTGGAAAAGATCTTCTTAAAAAATTGGCCTATCCTTAGAACAGACCCAATGTTAGGGAAATGTCTAGGGGAAAAGCCTAAATTTATATATCGGAGGGCCTCAGCAGCCAGGTCACAATTAGTTAAAAATGTAATTGACCCCCCAAAAATAAAACAGCAAACTACGGTGCTTGATTTGAAAGGGTTTTACCCCTGTAAGACATGCTATGCATGTAGGGAGACGAGGGGCACAAATACAAGTAAAAAACAGTTCCAGGCAAATAATACAGGGGTGACATACACCATAAAAGATTTTATTTCATGTCAAACCAAAGGTGTAGTATACTGCCTGGAGTGTAAATGCGGACTACAATATGTGGGGAGGACGAAAAGGCCGATGTGGAAAAGAATAAGGGAGCATGTGCAAAATATAAAGAAAAAGGGCCAAACGAAGCACAGTGTCCCAAAACATTTTTCCACACATCATCATAATGACCCCACATCACTTAAATTTTGGGGTATTGAAAAACACAAAGGACATTGGAGGGGTAGTAATATGGTGAAGGATCTTAGTCAAAAGGAATCCAAATGGATTTTTTTTGATGAGGACGCAAGCCCCAAGAGGCTTGAATGTCGAGTTTGATCTCAATAGCTTCATCAGTAATTTTTAGCGCTTTATAGTAACTAGTAAGGCGTAAGGAAGTTGTGATTTGGTTAAGTAATATTAAAGAGCATTATTGGGGCTAATATGAAGGCTCTAAGGGGAGCAAAAGATTATACTCCGGTATACTCAAAGGGGAGTATTTAATGTGTAGTGGTCATATTGTTGTGTTTTTATATATATATATTTTTATATATAAATTGTAATATTGAATACATAAGTTTTTATTAGTATATATGTATTATCTTTATGTATCCTGTAATGGAGATTGGTCTGTAACATCACACCATTGGTGGCACTGACAATCAGTGGTATTTAGCGATCTGATAAATATTAGATTCTAGGTCTTTATGACAGTATATGTCACACTTATTAGTGGTTTTTACTTACCAGTTAATTTGAGTAATTAATAAAGTTTTTTTTATATAATTAGTCCTATTGGATAGACACAGGGGTATTAATAAATTATTTTCCGTTTTCCCCTGTTTTTTAACCACTTTCTAACACTTCGAGTAAGGGTAGAGCATAGGTTGCATCATAAGATGTCCGCATAATAGATAGGAAGTCAGACTTCATTAGTATGGCAGTGTGGGTACCGCCCCCCCCCTCTGTTAATTGAGTGGCTGAGAGGATAAAAACAGAGACCAGGCCCATAGGAGGCGTATATCCTGAAGAAGTCACGTGCTATTAACCGTGACGTAACGCGTAGATACGCCAGTGGGAGGAGCCTAACGGACCACGCGGTGACGTCATATCCGGCGTCGGCGCCATCTTGGTCCACCTTCTCATGAGGATCCACACAAGCCAGTACACCCATGGTGTGGTGCAAATGTGCATGTCAAACCACACAAATGTGAGTAGTACTATTAGTGTGGCTTTAATAAAAGGTTTTGCGGTTTTACACTATGTGGATCTTTTTTGTCCTATGTGGGGTGTTTATGGAATGAGTGCGCACTAATATCTGGAGGCACCTAGTGGAAATCAGTATCCACCAGAGGAGGAAGTACCACCACCACTGCTGAGGAGACCCCCAAGGTGTTGTGGGAGGATTACAAAAGGGGCAATTGTCTGGCTCATTGGTCCTGCGGGGCCTGGGCAGGAAGGTGAGGGGGCACCCCTGTCACTGTGGATTCACGTTTAAGTTGGGAGCACCTGCATGAATTCTGTGTGTGTTTTTTCACATATCAAGACGGATCTATACTATTGGGAGGACTCACAGCATCACATGTTGTTTATATATTGGTCTTTTATTTAGTTATGCGGATAGGGTATTTATAGCGCTGCACTGCTTTATAATTATACTTCTCTACTGTGTTTGGTGCCAGGGTTGTGTCACCTTAGTGCTGGCAGCTTAGCATTATTTGTTATTGTAATAGCGCAGGAGTAATATTTATATACATTTTAACAGACCAAGCTGTCTATCATCTCTAAGCATCAATTAGAGGATGAGACAAACGATTTCACGTTAACAGGGGTAGTTCAAATTATCAACTTTTATTTATTTATGTAAAGAATTTATATCAAAAAAGGAAAAAACAAAACAGTTTGCTCTAACTGCTTACACATTGTTAACTGGAGCTCAGCTTCAATTTGTCCATCTAAATTTGCTGGTCTAACACTAACCTCCCCCAGACGGACAGTGCTACTGTCCAGATGTGTCTGCTTTACTACTTCACCTAGAAAACAGATACCCGAAGTGTGTTACTGGTTGGATAACCAGGTGAAATAAAAGGGTGAAAAAAAAAAAAAAAAAAAAAAAAAAAAGCATAAAAAAGAAAACCAATGCAGCCACCACATCTAGGATTGGTAAACTGCAATATATAAAATTTTTGGTTTTGCTCCTCTAGAAGCAGCATTTCATTTATTTTTTTTAAGACCAGTGTGCATGGAACCTATCAATAAATGTTTAGAGGAAACAGTGAAAGCACTTACCTAATAAAACTTAGGTGCACTCCCAAAGATCTGTGTGTTCCTGAGCAGTCTATGCATAAAAAGACACCATATGTGATGCTGGCCCAGCTGGGGTTCTTGGCTCCACAGTCAAAGCATGCCTAAAATATAAGAAAATGGGACTGTTACACTGCATCCATAAATCGACTTCATATATTGTTAAAATGAACTCTGCAAATGATCCACTGCATATCAAAGACACAAATTGGTTTTAAATGTGGAGTCAGCCATCCTTCTATACACTACAGCAAGACAGCTGTGAGGCAATAAAAATATTATGCAATGATTTTAAATTAGACCCGATTTCAAAAAGTGAAGATTTTCCATCTTATACTGTAGGAAATATCTACAAAAGAGATTCTAAAGGTTAATTTTTTTTTTGTAAAACAACAAACATGTCTATGCTTACCTGCTGCAGCCTGGATTTTCCTCTTCTCTCGGGTCCCCCGCAGGCTCTCCTAGCTCCTTCTTTCTGTTGGGTGCTCCCACAGCCCTCAGCTTGCCAAGGGGGCACCTGCTGCTCTGCCCCACCCCCTCTCTCCTCATTGGCTGACTGGCTCCCGCTTGCTGTTTCAGCCAATGAGGCAGAGACCCGGGACAGTCGACTGGGGGCACTGCTGTACACAAAAAGTTTTTTACCTTCATGCATACAGATAAAAATCTTGAGCCTTTGCAACAGCTTTAATGGTGGCAACAGCTTTAATGGTGGCCAAGAAGTACCTTTCTCTGTAAACAGGCTGGGAAAACAGCTGGGTCATGTGACAGCTGTATATTGATTAAGATAACAAGGTACTTAGATTTTTTTTTTTACTAATTAAAATAAATTACAAATGCCATCCATTAACAGAAATAGAAGGGACAATGTAAATTAAAACAGCGTTTGTGTGTTTCGTATCATTTTAATTGTTGACTTCCAATGAGCACATAATCCAGAGCTCTTTGACTTGATTAAAATAGGGGCAGTATTCCATCCCTATGACTACTAAGTTATGATCTTTTTCTGGTCGAGTCTCTTTTTCTGCTGCATTCTCACTTAATATTTATTACAGGTACTTATATAGCGCCATCAAGTTACGTAGCACTTTACATATATATTGTACATTCACATCAGTCCCTAACCCTCAAGGGGTGTACAATCTAAGGTCCCTAACTTACATTCATATATACACATACTAGGGGCAATTTAGACAGGATCCAATTAACCTACCAGCATGTCTTTGGAGTGTGGGAGGAAACTGGAGTACCCGGAGGAAGAACATGCAAACTCCAGACAGGAGGTGCCGTGGCTGGGATTGGAACCCATGACCCTACTACTGCCAGTTGGAAGTGCTAACCATTTAACCACTGTGCTGCCCAATAAAAAAGAAACATCTGCCAATCTCAGGAAGCAGTATGTCCACCATGTAGTCTGCAGAAGGGTTTCTCAAGAAGAATGGTACAAGCACTAACCTCATAAAAACAAAAAAAGCACACAAATCTATAGTAAGTATAAAACAGTTTTTTTTCTGTTAACCATAAAAAGGTGGTTGGTCCACATTAACAGGTGGAGGCAACTACTGGCTGGAACACTTGAGAATGCTGTTGGCAACACATCATAAGGTTTATATATAGCGATTTAGAACAGTCACTAACAGGCATTTAAATTGCTCCTAGACTCATCTAGCAGCATGTAAAATGAATGAAGTGACTAGGTCTCATCCATAGTAACAGTATTGTTAGGAGGACATTAGTATTGTTAGGAGATAAACAGTAAAAAAAAAAAAAAAAAAAAAAAAACAAAATACTATTGTCCTTTATAATATGCTAATATATGGATAAAATATATAAAAAGTTAAAATAAGAATAATAAAAAAGGTTACTAAAATTAGGCAATATTTCAGTAATTATTCACTACAAAACTCCTGCCTCTGTAGTCACCCCATATGACCTGATGAGCAAACTCAATACTAGCAGGTCACCAGCAATATAAAGAATGTCTGCCAAAGTGTCATCATCGTGAGATTCAAGCATTTCCACAGGAAAAAATACCAACATTAGTATAAAAAAAAAACACACACACACACACACACACACACACACACACACACACACACACACAACAATAATATTATTACACCAATAGTTTGCTTTGTAGATGTATTTTGTAGAATATAATTTTTCACCAAGGATCTATGGCACCAATTTACAGGTTACTTGGGTGAAAAAAAAAAAAAAAACGCCTCTAAATTTAGCAGTGAAATTGTGCAACATATGACAACACAAAAACTATATATTTTCTAACAAGCACCCGAGACACTGATTAAAGAATAAACAACAGGCCAAGTTCCACATTGTAACATCAGCCTGATGTAATTGCAGACTTTTGACCCCAACCTTGGAATTGTATGACACCTCACACTGCCAAATCAGCAGACATGCAGGTCAGCTGACCCTGTGAGCCACAAAACAGCTATCAATCTTTTCTTTTTTAATTTGTATTTATTACAGGTACTTATATAGCGCCATCAATGTATGCAGCGCTTTACAGATTGTACATTCACATCAGTCTCTGTCCTCAAGGAGCTTACAGTCCAAGGTCCCTAACGCACAATCATACATACATACACATACTAGGGACAATTTAGAGAGGAGACAATTAACCTGCCAGCATGTCTTTGGAGTTATGGCCTCATGCACACATACTTATAGTTTTGGTCAGTACACCGTAAGCATGTAATGGTTGTGCTAATGTTTCTGTGCTTTCATTGTTCATGGACCCTACAGGCTGCCGCTGCTTCTCAGGACCAATGTGTAAATATCAAAAATGTGTAGCTAACAGCACTGTTGACCAAACAGTTCATCTGCCCCTAAGATATATAATTTTTCATGCGGTGGTGGCACATATGCAGATTGACCTCAGGCAATTCTTAATAACTGAAGGCTGAAGTAATTCTGCACATGCACCAAAAAATTACTTTAAAGGCGGTAGCTGTAAAATGTCAATTGTATATAGTAAACTTTGGCAGCAGTAATGGATACATAGTCGACTTTTAAATATGTCAGCCCTGAGCAACAGCAGCATTTACAGGTTTCATGTATATGTTAGTACATACGTTACATGTGTGGTGTAAAATGCAGTCCATAAGAATGACCACAAATGCAGATTGATCTATTTTAGGTTTACGCAACTACACACTGCAGACCAAAAGGGAGCAGTGAGAATGGGTCCATAGCATACAATACTGCTGCGTTCCCATCTATAATATCTTACTAATCCGGAAGCAGCAAATTGTACACCTGTGCACATTAGCCCTACAGATGGATTTATAACAATTGGTCTTATTTGTTTTCTGTCGCCTTCTTTTACAGTCTTTTCATACAGCATATCCAATCAATTTCAAAGCTTGTGTCATGGGAATTTATTCCAATTACAGGGCTAGTGTTCACTGACTGTTCACCTCTTTAAATGGGCAAAAATTAAACCTTGAACAGGACTGGCACCAGTAAAAACTGAGCTTGTATTTGCTTCAATTTTTGGACAAGGGATTTAGAGCACACAAACATTAAAGCAGGTCAAAATCATATCCAAAATCAGCCTGTTACAGTCCCCAATCTGTCTTATCCCAACTCTATGATTGCAAGAAAATGAACAACATCAGTGGCCCATCTATTGAAAAGTAAAGAACAGCTCTGGCTGTAAATCCACCACTCTAGTGCTGTACCCTGCAGACTCACCTGCTCACCTATCAATGAAGCTCTTCTGGGATGAATAGCAATTGCTGTCATTCAAAAGCACTGAGCAAACTGTTGGCGCTATATAAATCCTGTATAATAATAATAACTCACCTTCCTCAGGCAGACATGGACTGATCCCCTGTGGGCTGCATCATCATGATAGCCTGGGTTTTCAGTATTCCTGGACAGTAATGTGCTCAAGTTTCAATAATCGATGCCATAGACAACTACCGTGATTGTTTCCCCCCCCCCCCCCCCCCATAAAATACTGTTTTTTTTTTCCATTTTTAATTCCCATCTTAGTGCTGATGATCTCCTGTAGTCACTACCTGTCCACATGCACTCACGCAAGCATCAACTGGACACCATTGCTGTAGACTGACAGTGACAAGAGTGGACCATGTCTGAGCAATGTGTGCTTGTATTCTCTGCCAGGGTGGAATGGGTCAGGGTGACAATGCAGGAAAACAATTGGGAGACAGCTTACACCCTTTAACAGGAAGCGCTTGAATATGGATCTTTATGGCAGGATCACCAGGAATTAATTTTATTGAAAGCTGCATATTTAAAAAAGGGACTGAAAACTAATCTGCAATCTGGAATACATTAAAGGCTACATTCATGCAGTTGATTTGGCGTGGTGCAAATGGCAGCAGCAAAACCCTGTTTCCCACAGTTGTTTTTGCTGCCTGTGAATGGCTAGCTGCAGCGGCCGAGCCCGTACACTTGACAGGTCAGCGACAGCTGCGGCTATTTGCATAGCCAGTGATTACCTGAGTGCATGCAGCAGCAATCACCGCAGGTAACTGCTGGCTGGGGAAAAAGCCACAGATAGCTGTGGCCACCACCAAGTGTTTAGGTGGTGGCCACAGCTAGCTGCTCACAAGTGAAAAAAAAGCTGCATGAATTAGCAGGATTCCTGCCACTGCCAATGGTACTGGGCCAAATCTCTCATGCGAATGTAGCCTAATCTTTGGACTTAGAAGACTTCTTATTAGGGTAGCCATACACAGCTCGATGTCTCATTCAGCTCATGTGCTGAACAAGAGAAAATCAGCCATTCCTCCATTCCTGTTAGACATGTAGTCTGGCAGCAAGAGCACACTGCCATTTCCAAACTGAGGGCTTATGTACACTGCAGCTGATAAACTCACGTTTAGGAGCTGTTCAGCATTTTTTTCAGCAGCCCCTGAACTCACCCTAATGTTTTCCTATGTGTCCATGTACACATCTTCATTTAAGATAGTTTACAGGCAGTTGAGTTTACAGTCGTTTTTTAAACACAGAAAACTTGTGTTCAGCAGTATATTTTATCAGCGTTTCAAATGCAAAATGCGGCTAACCGTGTTTATAGGTGCTTGTGTTTGAAATTTTTTTTTAACTCCAT